ATACGGAATAACCACTGGTTTGGGTCTGGGTTTGGGGTCTTCATTTTCACCTGAAGGTTGCATGGAATCCTGTCTTTCCTGCATGGAATTTTGCCTGAAACTCTCAGACTGAAGAAGTCTCTTGGAAGAGAGACAAAACGTTTCATTAAAGAAGAACCCGTCCAGAGGACCTATACAATTTTTTTCCATGTTATATATAAAAAACAGTGGTGTAAAGGTTCAACAATAAAACAGTTTGTATAAATTGTTAGACAATGTTTGAGACTGGAGTTGATTTAAGATGACAGGAATCCTCTGTAGTTCTTGACCCCATTCGATTTTATGTTTCTCATCATTTAAGTTTACACTTATCTAGTCCTGGTCAAAACCAATTTTTCCAAAAATTAAACCATGACTACAACCGTCCTTAAGCAGCAGCACCATGCTAACCCACTGCCACCCAGTGGAACTGATACTCTATGTGTGGCCCATCCCTTAATGCTAGTGACCAGAGAGCATGCTTCAGATACTGTGCATTGCATGTGTGTGTATTAATGGCTGACACAAGCAGAGGCTATTCTAAGAAGAGGGGCTTCAGTGGACAGAAGTGGATCAGACGCACAAAGTAACTGCGCCATGTGAATGGACGAGGGACACAAGAGCTAAGACAAGGGCCTCCTTTACCTAACTGAATCCAGAAAACAAACAAACAACAACAACAACAACAGGCAGTCCCACTGGAGGATTAGGTCCTTGGCCAGGCTGTAAGTGAACCAATAATAACACAGATTACCAGTGTTTGTGTCTGTTGATATATATTTGTGCTCACAAAAACTGACTAATCTCAGTTGTGTGATGGTTTAAACATGGTGCTGAACTGGATTCCAGGAGTTATGTGTTTTTAGTATGGTTTTGAGGTTTTCCTAATGTAAATGCATGGAAAGCAAGAAAGAAAGGGAGTTCATTGCTTACAAATGTGAAGCTCTCTGGTTGCCCTTTTTGAGGTATCATGTGACGGTGCCGCAGAGATGTCTAAATGCAAGACATTCTGTGGTGACCCCAGAATATATTTAGCCGTTCTCCTTAAACCTACTTTACATAGTAACAGAGTTAGCAAGGTGTCCGAATAAAAGCATGATCTTGGGAGCTTTGACACATTTGGAGTCTTAATACATTGATCTACTTAGACTGTTTACAGGTAACCAAAAAGATATTAAAAAAACACACAGCCTAAAGCTTTTTGTTTTAAATGGAAAATGGGGTGCACTGAATGAGTTCAGCTGCTTTTTAGATTTGTTTAAAATTTAACCCCCCAAAACAGCCTGTAGGCAATACAGAAATAACAAACAGATGCTGTCAAATTAAAGCTTTTGGCTGTTGGAGTCATATTTACTTAGTTGTGAAAATCAGATAACTCACAAACTGAATCCCAAATTTTCCAACATCTGTTTTGAAATCCAAAAGATGTTCAACGAGTTGAAACATCATCTACGTGTTTTGAAGCACATGGACAAGCTATTGGTTCTTTTTTTGTTGTTGTTAGTTATACAGACAGAAGATTTACTTTTTAAATTTTCTTTCCTTCTTGGATGCTCTTCTTTTGTTTGTTTGACTGATAATCAGTTTTCCAGTGAAATGGTCAGCCTTGTGGGTTCAGGTCATAAACATTATTTGTAAAATGATTCTTTCATCCAGATGTAAGGAGGTAATCTTCCAATCAGAGGAAACTCCCCAGCCCTAGCAACATGCCATGGTGTCCTTGGGCAGACCACTGAATCACCCACCCCTCACCTACCATTTGGTCATTATGAAAAATTAAAGGATGTAATACCATTCTGGGTTGTTGTGTATCTTACATAGTCTCTAGGGCTAAGAGAGAACACAATTTGCAAAAGGAATATTCACTTTGAAGCTAACTTCGTGTTCAGTAATSGTTACTGATGCTGTTTTCCTTGAAAGGCCTACAACCTGTCCAATTAGCCTAAACCAGTGGTTCCCAAACTTTTTATCTTCTGACCCACAAAATATCCATGGCAAAAACTTGTGACCCCAAATACTACTGGTCTGAGTACACAAACTTCATTAATAACCCTAAAAACACAGGCTTTTTGACAATCTAAACAGCTTGTACACAAATATAAATACTTATTTATAC